TGTCTAGTTAGTGAACCTGAGACTCGGATTCAGAAACTAGACCCTCACTAGGACTCTGTTTCTCATACGCTGTTCTTTTGGGTCCCCTGCCCCCAAGCTCCTTGCCATGTTCTGTTTGGAGAGCCAATGTTCAGCTTTGCTGTCTGAGTGTCTGAGCCCTGTCACTCCATGGGTGTCTCTCAGACGAAACCAGTGATTTGCTTGTTAGCAGCCTTCTCTGAAAATGTCAGTGTGTGTGTGTGTGTGTGTGTGTGTGTGTGTGTGTGTGTACGTACATGTGTTCAGGGATGCATGTGCAATTGTGTGCCCTTGGATGTGGAAGCCAAGGACTGATGTCAGGTTTCTTTCTTCAATGCTCCACCTTAATTTTCAAGTCAGTCTTTCACTGTATCTGGGGCTCTGTGATTTGGCTTGACTGGCAGGCCAGCAGGCCCCAGGGATTCTGCTTCCGCAGCTGTACTAGCCATCATGGCTAGCTTTGTGTGGGCACCGGGGACTGAACTGTTTGTACAGCAAGAAGCACTTTACCCATGAAGGCTTCACCCCAATCTGAAAAACCTAGTTCTTAAATGTCGGAATTCTCATCTGTGTGCCATACAAACTTCCCTAACCTATTACTCTCCTCTCTGATGGAGGCCAGATTACTTAGGATCCCAGTGACCCTACACAGGGCCTCACTGATTGCTGGGTTGTGGGGGTCCCCTCAATCAGCACAGCTGGCAGAGAAATGATCGGGTGAGTTAAGAAGAAAACTCGGTTCAGCATGACTTAGTTAGCCACGCTGGTTTAAACTTCTGGAGTCTGATGCCAAGTTTATTTTTTACATACTTAAACACAGTAAAACTTTGGAAAAGGTTTCCTTGTGACAATTATTACAATAAAGCTTTAGGCATGGCCGCACTGACACTCCTTTTTAGCAAAGCACCCGTGAGCTTTACCACACAGTGGGTTCTACTGACTGAGAAGCAGTGCTCAGGATAAGGGCCTAGGGAGGAAGGGTTTGTAATAAGCACAAGGGTGGGTTCCCCTGATTGAGAAACAATGCTCAGGATTCTGGGGTCTGGCTCCATGGACCAGCAAAAGATCACCAGGTAATTAAAAAACACCCTCTCCAGCCTTCCAGGTGAACAGGCGTCAATTTCTTCCACCGAGGAAAAGCCTGCGTGTTTAACAATTCCAGTTTGGCTAGTGAGTACATGGACCTTATGTCCTTCTACACTGGATGTGCTTGGGTCTGCAAAAATAAAAAAGAAATCATGATTTGGGGCCAAGCACTAGATTTGTAAGTTTTAGAACTCAAACTTATTTAGCAATTTTCCTTCTTGGAAACCGACTTAAAAAATTTCCCCTGAAATTAGAATTTAATTTGCATTAAATTAAATGTAATTTAGATGCACACGTTTGAAGAGTTACACCTCAATTAGCTCTGACAAATTGATGCACACATATGATAGCTCACATCTTCATCAAGATGGAGATCGTTTCACCATTACGCACATTCCCCTCTCTGGACAGCCCACTCTCTGCTCCCCCGCACAGTCACGGCCCGGATCCCTATCACTACACAGCAGTTATACAGTCTGTCCTTAAGTCTCACAAATGAATATTACCCAGCCAGAACGAAGTTTTTTGAGAGTCATCCACACTGTTGCATGTTTTAGCAGTTTATTTTGAAAGAGGTGGACGCTCCTCAAGTGTGCCTTAGTAGTATCAGCACACACTTGCCACTACGTACATAGACTTGGAGATGAGGGGTGGTAAATCAAGTCAATTCTTTATTAAAAAATAATAGTCCCGAAAGGACCTAAATCAGACCTTCCTTAAATGAAGCTTCATTCCAAAGCATCTGACAAAGTTTGCCCCTTCTCAGCCAAAGGAATACATTGCATGGCAAGTACAACAATCCCCAAAATTATGTTTTCCTGCTTCTATCACACTTTTTTTTTTTTGTTTTGTTTTTTGTTTTGTTTTTTTTTTTCGAGACAGGGTTTCTCTGCGTAGCTTTGCGCCTTTCCTGGAGCTCACTTGGTAACCCAGGCTGGCCTCGAACTCACAGAGATCCGCCTGGCTCTGCCTCCCGAGTGCTGGGATTAAAGGCGTGCGCCACCACCGCCCGGCTTTCTATCACACTTTTTTGTCATGTGTTTATTTGGTGTATAGGAGGTCCTGAAACTTGTTTTGTTGGATTGGGATGTGAAAGTAGAGAAATACATTAAAATCATGGAAGTTGAATAAACCTTAGTTTATTCCAATAAAGAAGGGGAACTATTTATGTATTGATTAAAGGACAAAAACTTGTATTTACTTCATACTCAAGTTTTAGGAAATTATTTCCCAAGGTGTATAGAATAGAATTTAAGCACCTTGCTAATAATGTAAACACTACTGAAATATACAGGTTGAAAATTAAAGAGTTGCTGGGCGGTGGTGGCACACACCTTTAATCCCAGCACTTGGGAGGCAGAGCCAGGCGGATCTCTGTGAGTTCAAGGCCAGCCCGGTCTATCAAAAAAGAAAAAAAAAAATAAAGAGTTATACAATATATTATTCTCCAGATCTGATGGGCATCTATTACTCCTGGAAACCCAATAAATGAAAATGATTGGTTTCAATGTATTCATGGTTTCCATTCTTTTAAACAATTCTGCTGTATGAATATACAATAATTTGCTTATCTGTTCAGTGGACACACTTTCAGATGCTTCTAGTTTTTACTTATTGCAAATAAAACTGGCATAGCATTTATGTACAACCATTTTGTGGCCATATGTTTCTATTGCTTTGCATGAATACCTAGAAATGGAATTGTTGAGTCACACTGTAGGTGTGTGTTTATCATGATAAAACCTTCGAATCTGCTTCCCAAAGTAGTTTAATCACTTTCTTTTCTAACCAGCAGTTGAGAGCTCTGGTTTAGCAATGCTCTGCCACTACAGGGTGGTATCAGTGCTTTACATTTTAGCCATTTTTTGTAGGCATGGAATGAAATTTCTTTGTGGCTTTAATTAGCATTTTTTGATGACTAGTCATGTTGAATGCTTTTTCATATACATATGGACTATTTATAAATCTCCTGTCAAATGTCTGCCGAGCCGAAGTCTTACTCATGAGACATCATTACATGTTTGTTTTCATTTCTGAATAGTGAATGTTTATATATCCAGGAATTTGTATGTATCAAATATATTTTCACATGTACGTCAAGAATGTTTTCTTCTGGTCTGCTTTCTCACTGATGACTTTGGGTTAGTAAAAGCTTTTATTGTTGATGAAGTATGTTTCTTTTTTCTCTTCTTTTTTTTTTCAGAATGAGCACATTTATTTGCCCTACAAAATCTTATCCTCCTTCAAAATCCAAAAATTATTTTTCCCTTTAAAAGATACACATCATTTTTAATAGCTTTAGAGATGTTTAGTTCTCATGTCCTGGTGTGTAGCTCCTCTTGATTTACTATTTGTTTACAGTGCAAGGCAAAAGCTGAAGTTCAGTTTTTCTTTATCGATATTGAATTATTGGGAGTTGACTTGCGCTCTCCAAACAGGAAACAAGTTTGGAATGCTGCACGGTGGCAGGATGCTTGCTTAGCATGGGTAAGGCCTTGGCATTCAATTCCCAGCACAGACAAGGTGGGGAGCGAGAAATAAAAGAAAGATCATAGAGACCAACCGTTTAAAAGCCAGCGTATCAACTGATGTCTATCATAAAGCTGCTTGGCTATGCGTCCCCATTTTGATATGAGGCGGTCATAATTTATAAGCAGACCCAAGTGGAGAGTAAAAAGTAGTAGTCAACTACTGATTCTTTGGACTTGAATTTAGAACAAAGGAACAACTAAAAACTTGTTGGGAGGACTAGAGTGAAAACTCACCCGAGCGTTTCATTTTCTAACTTCCTTCTCAGACAAAAGAGCACCAACCACAGCAGAGAACCCCCAAAGCCAACGTGGTTCCTCGGGGTTTCATGATCGGTTGCACGGTCTGCATCACTGCTGGCTTTGCTCCTGTTCTATGTTTTGCCTTTGCTCGTAGCCTATGATAGAGCTCCTTGTTCACGTCGGTGCGCCAGTTCCCGACCACAGCGCAGAAGCACAAATTTTAGCGCTACTTGGTTCAACAGATAGAAACCCACCTCGAAGGTGTTTAAGAAAAACAGAATTGGGTCTGATTATGTAGCTTGAGAAGTCCAAAGACTAGGTTTGCTTTCAAAACATAAGGTGAAAATTGTTTTGGTAAACATTTTAATAGTAAAAGCAGTCTAATGTTCTCATTCCATCAAGCTATCATATATATATATATATATATACATATATATATATTCATAATTTAAAAATATCTTATAGCTGTCAAAGTCAGAAAAATTGCCTAAAACATGTAGTAAATGAAATTTATATTAGTTTTCTATAGAGTTTTCTGAAACCTGAACAAAAGTATCCCATGCTCTAATTTGTTAACACAAATTACCAGTATTTTCTTTTCTACTTTAAATTGCAATATAAACATTAGTGAGTTTGCTTTAGTGGATATTTATGCAGGGTTTTCATGAAATAGGGAGACAGAGAAGAGATGGTGTTGGACAAATGACCTCTGTGGTCCGGGCGCAGCTCCAATCCTTGCTTCTCTTCTGAGGTTATGACCATCTCTTGTTTATTCTGACATTCAGAGAGATGGCACATCTCTGGCTTCCTTTGCTGGTTGCGGAAAGCTGAGGTGGTTGAAAAGCGAGGGTGACTGCCTTCCCAATGGCTTTTCGATCTGTCCTCCCTGGTGCTGTGCAGAGCTGGAGCCACACAGAGGAGGAGCTCCTTGGCATTGTGCGGCAACCCCCCTCCTCCGCACCCCCCCTCCCGGCCAGCGCTGAATTTGCAGATCTTGGTTGCCACGTTCCTGCTCCTTTACATTTTCCCTGCTTCTCATTTCGCCAGCAAACGAGGTAGCTGTAGCCACAGATAGACTTTTTCCTTTTTTCTTCTTCCCTCCTCCTACCCCTCCCTAGACCTCTCTGGGCTTTGACGTCATGTGTGCTCCTTTCAGTTGCCATAGCAACCCCATTCCCCAAGCCCTCTGTCCGTCTCCTCTGGTAGGCTCCACAATGGTACAGGCAGCCTCCCGCTGCACAATGGTTTCCAGGCAGTGAGAGAGAGAGTGATTCAGCAAGCCACTCTTCTCGTCCAACCGCCCGTCTCTTTTTATTTTTATGGGAGTGGGTGGTGCTTCATATATTATATGCTTACCTGTTTTTTTTCTATTTTCGTTTTTACAAATTTCCTTTCTCTTCCTCACTCCTCAATTCCCAGGGGCTTGAGTGAGCTAAAGATCGGGTCTTCTTGGAAATCACCTGTCTGTTATTATTTTTAAACAATTTCCACACCTCCAAAGACTCTCCTCCTTATTCCGGTTTGGAATGTGGCTAATGAAAACCCAGTAGGGAGGATTTCTGAGGCAAGCATCCGGACCAAGATCCTAGTTCTCAGGCACGGAATGGTAGGTGACTCCTTGCTCATTTTGGGTTCTAACCTGTTTTGGGAGGGTGGGTGATATCTGTCATCGGTCTTGTGGGATGGGAGAGAGCAAGAGAAAGTAGGAAGCGATGGGGTTGGAGAGCCAGTTTAACGAATCATACTGTCACCGAGGCAAGAAGACCTTGGCATTTTACTCTGGGCATCCTCTTCTCAGACCAAGGAGTGAAGAGTGCTAGAAGGTGGACAGACCTTTATTATTGTGACCCGGCAAAGCAGAGTGAGAGAAATGCACACATGAGAGTGGAGAGAGAGGCAGAGAGGGAGAGAGGGAGAGGAAGAGAGAGAGAGAGAGGCAGAGAGGGAGAGGGAGAGAGAGAGAGAGAGAGAGAGAGAGAGAGAGAGAGAGAGAGGCTTGTTTAGAAGTGTGGCTCTCAGTTTGAGAAATGCTATAGGTCTCATAAGATATTTAAAAATGTCATTAATACACATAAATTTTATTTCCAGACAGGTTTAACTTTAAATATTCTGAAATATATTCATACAGTTTATATATGTATACATATACATACATATACATACACACATATATAGCAAACTAATGAGCCATATATATATATCATTTATATATATATATATATATATATCACAAACTAATGATGTTCCTCTTGTAGAAAGACTCTGAGCTAAATCTGCAGACAGGAACACAGAACAGGGGCTTGACCAGGGAAAGAGCAAACACTGGCACCGCAGCTACGTAGGTAAAGGTCCCTTTAAGAAAGTGATCGCCCAGTCACAGCAGGCAGCATTTTTCTATGGCAAGGTTCCCAGGTATTCTGTGCTGAGATACTGTGTCCCCTAGAAATGTCAGAGCATTTTCAGAAGAAACAGATGCTGTCATTGGGAAAGAGCTTGGTGATACAGTTTTCAGAATTTATGTGTTTGCTCCTTCAGCCGAACAAGTGTAGTTTATCGGAAAGCCTTCAAGTAAATCAGGTTATGGATATTTCAAGAAAATTATATGTATACATTATGTATATCCCTTTCTTTTCCCTCCAACGTTTAAATATAGAGACCAAGATGCTGCTTTGACTGCCTTATGCAGATAACTTTCAAGGGCATTGCAATCTGGCCACGGAAAGGAATGGCTTATCCCAGGGCAGTAGGCTCTGAAGCAGCCACAAGGTTGTTTACATGGTCTGCTTTTGCTGCAGAGCAATGTGTCTGTATGACAGCGCTGGCGATAACTTTCACGAGCACAGGCTAAGTCATATGGGACAGGCCACAGTCGGCGGTGAAGGAAGGTGGGTGTTGGATGGACCAGGCATTACCTGCCCAATTTCTCCCCCTTTCCCAGCGCTACTATTGTCAATCCTGGAAGGTCCTGCAGAATGCTGATCAACATATTTAAAATGGTTGCGGTAATGACCATTTCTCTCAGAGAGGCTTCAGTAGACATCTGTCCTCGGTGGGCATGTATGTTTTACTACAGCCAACCATGCTCATGAATGAATTCACGAGCTTCCAACTCCACTTTGGAACCATTGGGTTTTAGGACCAGACAGTTTGAGATAGCAGTCTTGCTGCTTCTCCTTTCTTTTTTAAAACCTTGATCTTACCCTTAACATTGACACAAAGTATTGGATTCGTTTGTCTATCTACTAACATTAGAAGGGATTGTCTCTTTCCCCACAACGGGGCTTGAAAAGAAGATGAGAAAGGTGAAATGACCTTAAGTATGAGTTTCCAGCGTCCTTAGTGGCTTCTCCTTCCCTCCTGCCATTACTAGCTTTCATTAGTGGGGCTCTGGTTTCTGCAAAAATCTTTGCAATTGTAATGAAAGAGATTCCAGGTGACTGATGGGGAAGCCAGAGCTCCCCGGGGAGTGGCAAATTCAGCTGCCTCCAGCTGCCTACTTGCTGCCCCCCAAAACAGTATCTGCTGGGAGAGGGTGTGTGCTTTCCTGCCGGAAGAGGGTGATTATGAGCAGATCCCCCGGGGACTGAGTGTGTTCTCACTGTGACTGTGACTGGCGCATCTGCAGCTAGTACTACGGTTTCCTAGTGCGTGGTGGAGATGGTCCAAGGTTAAGAGGAGAGCTGATCATGGATGCTATAAAATATATAAAATACAGTTATTTTAAATTTATAGCAACACTCATTCATTGTCAGTGTATGCTATATCAGAAGCAAACGAGGTGTGCACAGTACAAGTGTTCAAAGGTACATCTGTATACTGAAAGTTATATTAGAGCCTCATGTAAATGAATCTATCTCTTTGAATATAAGCTTGGCTACAAAGTTTTCCCATCCTGATGATAAAAGATAAAGACCAATTGAAGCTCCTTGTTTGTTGGATTCAGGGCCAGGCATTTTTTCCTTCTTGTTCTAGAGCTGAACTCAGGTCTTATTTGTAGCTAGAGGATAGATGTGGAGTGGAATTGTTGTGAGTAAACCAAATAAATCTTTGGTTGCTCATGGGAGAAATGGGGTGCTAGCAAAGAAGGAGACTTCTTTTGATCTGCATATGAAGCGAGCACGTCTTCACTTAGAGGATCTCACCCTCTGTTCCTCCTGCTTCCTCTAAGATTTTTTTTCAAAGCTCCTGCTGGGCCTTGAGGTCTTGCTTAGAGGGAAGCAGAAGTGTCCAGTGACAGGAAAGGAGTGCAGGGCTCTGTTAGCTCCCGGCTGGCCGAGCACTTCCCTCCACACATGCAGCTCTTACAGCACCTTCTACAGAGCACCGAGGACGCACAGGGAAAGGGGGCCTCCGGACTCCTGGGAGAGGAGCTTTATCAGTCAAGATGAACAAAATCCATTTGTTTCTTAGGCGTATTGAGGTTATTTGTTGCATTACATAATCCTGAGCACTGTGCAGCCGATACTGATAAGACGGCTTGCTGCATATTGCTTGAAGAGGACTGTCTTTCAGAACGGGAACTTGTGCTTTTAGACACCCATTTCTCCATATGTTTTCACACGGAAGTTCTAGTATTTTGAGAAGATTTTTCCCCCCTTGTTTTGAGTATAGTTCAACCTCATGAGCAAATTAAGGTGAAGAAAGAAAACTTAAACATCTATATATTTGAGGACCATTGGTTCCCCTATGCTTAATGTAGAAAAATTTCTTCTTCTTCTTCTTTTTTTTTTTTTTTAAATAGAGAATCTTGGTAAAAATGCGTGGAGACACTGGGTAACACCGCAGAACCCATGAATGAAACCTGTGTGTTTGAAGGCAGGCTCTGAACACGGCTGTTTTCAGCAAAGGGTCTTGTAGTTTGACATTTTGGACATCCAAGAAGCTACCTTAGCGTTTCTCATCATTCTTAGCCCCAGTGCCCACAAGACACAAAACCCATAGGCTTAAGAAATTAGTGCTGGTGGGCATGGAAATCCGAGTTCTGTGCAGAAAAACAAACGACAGAAGGTTCCTGCCGAAGTGTTCTAATCACAGCTGCTCAAACGCCCTGAGTGGTGTGCAGAGGGAAGGCGCAGCCGTGGTACAGGGCAGCAGGCATGACCAGGCCGCCTGCGCAGCGAGAGACAGGACCCCAGTGATTCCTCACCTCATCCCTCCTCCTCCTCCTTTAACGTCAGGAACAAGACAGAACATAAGCAACAGAGACTTAAAAACACTACAAATTCACGTCAGTGGGTTTTCCTCTCAGAAATTAAACGGAGTCCTGGTTGGTGGCTAGTGGCCTGCTTGGATGCACCAGGAGCTTCCTGAGTGTGGGATATTGGGGTCATTGTGCTCCTTCTGTGTGGAAATGGGACCCGGAGCTATGGAGTGTGAAGGGAGGCCCCCAGGTCTGCTTGCTTGGCTGTGTTTATTTCGTGTCTATAGGAGGAGGCGCCCTCTGCATACTGATCACCACACAAAACAGTGATCTCCTGTGCCTTCAGGTCTGTCTTGCTCAGTCTAGCACACAGTAGGTATCTATGAAGTGAGAAGTGCTGTGGGTGGAGGAGAGTGAGATGAGAACACAAAGTTTCAGCCATTGGAGTCGATGCTCATGTGGGGAGTTGAGTTACACGGTGAGGATGGGATAGTTAGATGGTCAGTGCGGCAGAACCGACGAGGAAGATGCTCCACTCTCAAATGGTGACACAGGACAAACGAGACCGAGCTGGGGTGTTGGAATTAGCTGTGTGAGTGGTGGTGAGAAAGGTATTCCTAGAAATCGCTGGAAGACCCTGGCCATGGGTGAGGCTCTTATTTCACTAGAAAAGGAGATTATTTCGGGATTGGAGAAGATGGAAATTAAGTTCGTGGTTTGTCAATAGGTAGAAAATTGAAAACTGGCACAGGCCTTGAGAATCTGGTCTAAACTAGTGCAGCAATAAGGATAAAGAGTGGGTCTATAAGATTGGATTACTGCAGACCAACTTAAGCTTAGTTTTATGTGTCAGACCTGAGAGGGTTTTACCTTTTCTCCTTTTTGTTGGTAAGCATGTAGCCATTGTTCCTGTGAACTCTACTGTAAAATGAAGACTGTGTCCAGTGGAGGCCAACTTGGTGTGTCTCACAACTAAGTCTACAGTTAGAAAAGCAAATATCCTATCCAGTCACATAGTTACTAATTGGGTTTTATGTTCAGATTTTAAAAACATGTAGCTGTTCTGCTCTGGACACCAAAGTTCCTTTGTTTGTAACCAATTCTAGCAGAAGTCATTACCTCACATAACTGATGTCATCTCCCTGCTCCTTGCCACACGGGAAAATTGCTTTACTGTATTTGATGTTAGTATTTTGTTTTAATAGTGCAAATGAAGTTAAATGTGGAATCTTCAGATTGAACTGACATGTCATTTTTCTCTGATTTTAGGCTAGTGTGAGAACACCACCGGCAGGACCCTCTCAGATCCTGGTTATGGCAACTCACACAAGAAGCTGTTGAATTAGATCCCTTTCCTATAGATGAGAAACCACACAAGCAGTGGTGAGTTGAAAATCTACAAATTCCTTTGTAGGACATTTATAGTCAACACGATCAACTTACCTACCACATATTGTCTCATCTATGGATCTGAGGAAACACTGCTCCAAATGGTGTCAATCTAGATAAAAATCAATAGGAAAGAGCATGTACAGTAGTTGGTGGTGTGGTCATTCTAATACCTCTTATAATTCTGTGGTTTTGAGATATACCATGATATCATCTCCACGAGCCATCCCAGTCTACATAGAAAGGCCTTAGCTAATAACGTCATGTTGTAGAGTAACAGCTGGGTAACATTATTTTAAGTCATATTTTTAGTTTGTAGCATGCTACTACATTATTAAACTCCTTTAGTGGAAAAATTGGTGCTGAGCTAAATTAAAATGCTTAATTCTTTTCAGAACCACACACACACACACACACACACACACACACACACACACACACACACATACACACACACACACATGCACTGCATACACACCACACACACATACCACACCCCCACAACCCACACCCCCACTCACACACATTGTTTAGATCTTCAGGAACACAGGAAGGACAACTCTACCACATTTGTGGACATGTTAATCTACAAATCCATTTGTTCATGATAAACAACATTAACGATATACCTAGCTGCTCTGCTTACTTAGAATAATTTGGAAAAATGTATTATTTTATAAGAATATTAGCACACCCAAGCAGAATGCCTTTAAGGTCAAATCTTGATGCTTGATAGGCACCAAAGTTAATAAACCACAGTGGAGATGAACAAGCTATATTCTGTCAAGTAACATCTGTGAGAAACAGAATGCAGTGGTTGTGCCCGTAAGACTCCAAAAGGAAGCTATTGGTGCCGGCGATCGATATCTCACTTTCATTTGCTTGGTGGCTTCTTTGTAGTAAGGCTGTCCTGTGGCTCAATGTGGTGCTTATAGCTGCAGAAACCTGAGGAAATGAGCTCTATCGTGATTCATATTACGGTTTTTACAATCTGCCAATCATCACAGTGAAGTTGCAGATCCAAGTGTTCCCACTATAGTGTGCTTTATAAAAATACGTTCCATGTTTGTTGTGAAGAGAGAATCATATACAATTGCCAGTAACCAACCATTTGTGAGCTACAACAATGACCGTTTTATATGGTTGACTCTATATGTTGTTCTGTGTTAGTCCCAGTGAGTAGAAGTCATACATTATCCCCAGGCTAAACACTTATCTATTACGCTAACATTTAATGGGAATCTGTCATGTAGATATCCTGTTGGCTTTTGGAATAGATGTAATTCTCTGTCTTAAAGGACTTCTCAGTTTAAAGAATGTGTTACTTACATGATGTGCTCTTAGCAGGACAGATTCATCCTAAAGATGGTGTACTTGTGAAGTGTGATTCGGTCGGTAGAAACCAGGAGCAAAAGCAAAGAGAACCATCTCACAGATATGGTGAAAATTAGTCCAGGAAGACTTCACAAAGGGACATTTAGGTTAGCCAGAGGAAAGGCACAATCAGTGCACCGTGGGACACTCAGACCATCAGCTGGGAGAGCCGTTGCTTGGGAGCACTCTCACTCAGCATTGATGTAGAGGGGTAGAGAGGAGAAACAGGAAGGATCTTTTAGACAAAGCTAAGGCATTGAGACTGTATACTAAAATGAAGAGCTTTTGGAGGTCTTAATTAGGAGTAACACAACTGACTTACTTTAAAACTGTGGGTATTTTACTCACTAGAAGAACATACTAAATAAAGGGAAGGTGAAGATGATTATGTATCATATTTCATAGACTCCCGGCAAGCACCATGTGTTCCAGATCATGTACTTTTCCTTCCACACCACAGGTGACCACATAGCCTTCCGACCTGTCACTCACCCCCCTGCTGTTCTTTGTAGAATTTACGTCTAAGTATCTCCACAATAGATATTTCAGTCTGTCCGCACTTTAGTTCCACGTAGTTGTCATTATATACATGCATTCTTAATCCTCTGGTGATAAACTTTGAGTCACACATAGAGTATATTTGCATAAGTTGTCATATATGTTGTATATAAGCATTTTATTGTAGAAATACACCAAAACTTGCTTATCCATTTCCTGTTGATGGAAACTCAGATTTTATTTAGTTTCCACCACATACATTTAGAATAAATATCAAGAGGAGGGATTGCTAGGTTTTGAGATATATGTGTCTTTAATTTTAATAAATAATTTAGAAGTATTTTTGAGTCGGACACATCCATTTGTACTCACGGCGATGGTATAGGGAAACGCAACATTTCCCCTGCACCTCATTTGCAAGTTCTTAGGTTTTTCTAATCAGGTGAATGTGTAATTATACTCATATAAGTATCAATTTGCATTTTGTTGATTACTAATGAGGAATATCATTCCATTTTTTAAATGTGGCCAATTGATGTTCCTCTTTTGTGAAGTGCCTGTTCCAGCCTTTTTGAGATGTATCTTTTAAAATGGTATCCTTTTTGAATTCTTACCGTGTAATAGGCACTACACTGAGCACTTTACAAACATTAATCTTCCATCATCTTTGTGGCCCACAGACAAGGGAACTCAGTTTAGGAGGTTAAATAACTGACTGACAGATACTCGGGGAAGGAGCTGTGGACTTAGCATTCAACTTGAAGTCTTTCTGACCTGAGAGCTCTTTAGTTTCTCAGAGTTTGTTTAGAGGCTGATTAGGCTGAGGCCAGAGGGGAACATTCTAAGTGCTTCTGCAAGAACAAAAGTAATGAAAGCGTAAGGTAAAGACCTGGCAGAAGGAGTAGACCTGGAAATAAATGTAGTGGGTGGGTGGAGAAGGTAGGGATGAAAACCATCTCAGGTTTCCCTATCCGTGGGCTAGGCAGAGTCAATACGAGTCATACGTGTGTATGTATAGTCGTGGTATTGTAGGAACCTCCAAGAACATACTTCATGATTCTAACATTTAATAAGAAATCAGTTAAAGCCTGTAGGGCTATGAAGTTCGGGGTTAAAAAGAGACCACGGTGTTTATTTGGGTCAACTCTTGACTTTCTAAAAGATGTGGCACTAGTTGATAGCAAGTGTCCTTTTCAAGATCATGGGTCACCAAGGGTCATGTTAAGAACAGACACTAGGACTGCAAAAGACAGCAGCAGCAGCAGCAGCAACAAAGAAACGAAATACCAAATAACAGCTGCCTGCCTTTTAAATTAATATGTGACTCTGCAATCAGCCTGCTTTATTTGTTAAACCTTCAGAGGTCAGTACTCTTTGGTCGAAGTCTATTGTCACTGTCACAGAGGCTCTGTTCAGCATCTTTCTCAGACTTATTTAAGTAATCTTAGCACTGCCATATTTTTTTTTTTTGCTGATGATTCTAACAATGAAACCACACATTTTTATTTTAGTTTACAATTATTGCCATACAACCTGCCTGAATGAAGACTTGTCAATATACGCTATTGTTCATGTAATAATTTCCCTTCTCAAAAACCACCACATTCTTGCCCAGCCCCAGCTTAGAGACTCCTGCCAGGGACTCCAGTGCATCTCAGTCCACATCCACACTCAGGGCTTCTCCTCTGTGGTTTTCTGCATAGTGCCAATTCTGCTTTTTCCCACTCCCTGTTTCTCACAAAAGGCTCTAACTTACAATACTTAACTTACGGTTTTGTCTTTGGTGTTTTTTTTTGTTTGTTTGTTTCACAATAATGCTTAAGTGTTATACATCCATTAAGAATCATGTTTCAGCAACTAAGAAATGCAGAGACAGGGGAAATAGTCTTACTTAGGGGAACCTTCCCAGTTGCTTATCCAGTACCAAGTAGGCATCCCTGATATCACATACACACAAAGTAACACCATAAAGACTCTGAATGCTGTAGTTACATATTTAGGAATATATATGTACACCCATATGTGTGTACTCATGTGCACGTGCATGCGTACGTGTGTGTGTGTGTGTGTGTGTGTGTGTGCAGATAACAACAGTTGATGAAAAAGAGGTCATGAATTTGAGAGAGAGCAAAGGGGTACATGGGAGGTGTTGAAGGGAGGAAGGGGAAAGAGAAATGGTGTAGTTATATTTCAATTTCAAAAATAAAAAAATCATTAAAAAGAATCCTGCTTCATATTGTGAGTCTTGGTCTTTTGCCCAGCTGGTGATGTGCTGGGCAAAATTCATTTGTGATGATTGGAAGCAGCAGGAATCTGCAGATTCCAATTAACTAGATGAGGTACACAATACTTTAGTATAAAATATGCTTTTCATGGGATGACATCGGCCAACTGGAGGATAATGGGAGTGTCCTGAGTCCATTCAAGGTAAGATAATCCATGCTATGTTGCTTGCAAGGTTGGGTGTAGCGTGAGTGCTTTTGACTTCTGATAGTTTCAGCTTGTGATCCGTTTGCTGGAGGGAGCATCACATTCAAGGAGCATCTTTATCTGGCCTTGCTGGTTGTCTTCGTTACTTTCCCATCACTTTGACCACAACACCTGTCTGAAGTAATTTAAAGGAAGAAGGGGTTTCAGAGAATTTTGGTCCATTGTGAAGGGGAAGGGGTGCTGGACTTCAGTCCATGGTGGCAGAGCTTGTAGCTGAATTCTTCCCATAGTCTTTGGATCAGGAAGCAGATAATGAGTCTGGGCTGGGGGTCATGCTCAAAGGCCTGTAATAGTGACCTACCTCCTGAAGTCCCCACAGTTGGGAACAAGGTGTTCCAACATGACCTTGTGTAGGACATTCTGTATTCAAACCATGTCATTATCCTCCCAAACATTCGCTACACTAAGAAAACACAGTGTATGCCTCTTCTACAGCTCAAGAGAAATGCAGCATCCCAGGACCTCCTGAGACTCACTGACTCAGAATGCGCATTTTCACAAGACTTGGGTGATTTTTATGCACATTAAAAACTAAGAGGTACTGTGTATGTTGGCTCTGGATTTCTTCTGGTGTCTTCTCTTAGAAATAGTCTTTTTAAAATCTTTTCCATCTGACATTCTTTCTCAGTTCC